TATTATTTTGTACTTAAAGAATCACAGAATCATAGGGGTAGGAAGGTATCTATGGAGATCATTCAGGCCAACCACACTACTGAAGGAGGTTCTCTACAGTAGGTTACAGCAATGTATTCCCCCCTGCTTACAGAATATTTTCAATATTCCTTAATCATTCAATCTTGACTAATCTTTCTTGTTTTATTTAAAAACAATTACGGATACTTAATGTTCTGAAATGTATTTAATCTTGATACTTTATTTCCTGATCTATTTTCAGTAATGAAAGTTTCCCTATGAAAATTATGCTCTGTTTGAAGATCTAGAAATTAGGACTGCAGTTTATGTACATTCGTTGCATCTTATGAGAGGCAAATGACTGAACATAAAAAGTGATCTCCTGTATCTGAAAAACCTTAGCAAATTATAAGTGTTCCTACTGTTATATGAATAAGAGAAACGAAGAACAGATGGTGTTTGGAGACGTTCTTACAGATATCAGAATGTGCTCCCACAGCTCCCCTGAAAGCTGAAATGCCGACTGTCTACAAAAGACTCACCTGCTACATTGTCTTTCTTAGCTCTGATCTTGACTTGAGCTTTGTTCACGTTCTGGATCACAGTGGTACTGTAAGGAAGAAAAGATGTATCTTAACCAGGAACACCAAAGTGGTCCATTACTTCATCATTATATTCAAAGAGAAGTAGTTATCAGATAACATCGTTATCTGCAGCTAATGGCTTTCCTACAATGTTTAGCAATAAAAGCGGCAGACTTCACAAAATGTAACTCTGGAAATGTCTTAGACCAAGTACACGAAGCATTTCTAAAAACTAGCAAGTTATCTGCTGAGTGACAATAAAATATTTTAATAACGTTTAATCTGAATCAACTTGAGATTTTCTTCCCACTGAAAGCAATTTCAAGGCTTAAATGCAGATCAAGACCACATCACTGTTCATTTTTACAAATTCATATTTATTTGTTCCTTCAGAACAGTAATAAGTTTGTTTACCCATTAATTCTTACTATGTTAACGAACTTGAGCTGGTACAACAGTTCACCCAGAAGGATTCTAAAGTGTCTTATGGTCTTCCAAGAACAGGTTACTGTACCAGCTCTTCCACTGGAGTACAATTTACTTACCGGGTGGAAACTGACTATTGTTTATAGCTAAACACTATACCTGGTTAAGACAGGAAACGGGTGAAAGGGCAAAAATGCCTTTTGCCCTCCAGCAACACACAGGTTACTACAGTGTCTGATCACTGAGCTCTTCCCCATTAATTGGTGGTACCATCAGCTGAATCATTAACACTTCCCCAACTTTATTCCACGAGACCAAAGTATGCTTGGATGAATTACACAAACGGCCTAGCTGGAATTGTAATTTATTAAAATACAATTAAAAGATTAGTTTCTCCTGTCACAAACAGCCTTCGCTAGCCCTGGTGAGATGAGTGGTCATGAGACAAGAGGCTAAAACAATTAGTAGAACACATAAATGCCTTACTGGGAGAAAATATCACATTAGATCCTGACCTCAAGTCCACAACAAAAATCAAGATAATGTGTAATCCTATACTCTGCTAAACATTCTTGTGTTTACCTGTGTTCTAGATTCTAAACTGAAAAATCCACCTCCTTCTCAAATCAAGAATTTGCACATAAATTCTCTTAATTTTTCAGCTCGCTTTTCTTATGTGTTTTCATCACACATATGATCACTCTCTTGCAGTTGTCTCTCTCACCTTAATGGAATTCACTTATCATGTCCTACCACGTCCGCTGTCATTTTTTTCCTTGTTAAAAGTTCATTTAAGAAATTTCTTATTTCCAAAAGAGAAATCGACAATCAAAAAAGGATGCCCATAAGATCAGCAATCCTTACCTGAAATCTCCTGCTGTAAACTTTGCCTCAGCAAGTGAAAAGGCAGCTTCTCTCATCACCTCACCCATCAGCAACTTAGTCTGTTTTTTTTAAAAAAGAGACATCAAATACAAGGTATATTATTCTTTTTCAAAGAACAATAATTAACAGCATAAAGAAAACAATAGGAAATATAAGAAAGAAAGAGAAAGTACTCTACTCCAGTTTACTCTCAACTTGCTAATTAGAATTTTCAGATGACTGGTAAAAAATGAAATACAATTAAAACCCATCCAATATGGCAGAATATAATAAGATCTACTAAGTCGTACTAAAATCTTCTAAATTTATATACTGCTGAAGACAGAAAAGCAGAGTTATGCTCCCCTGTCCTCAGTAGCATCACTTACAGATTACGGGTTATCCACAATGTTGTTTTACATTCTGGTTTATCTAATGAACTTACAAGAATGAGAATGTACAACTGACAAACAAATTTCAAATCACGTGAGCCTAAGAGAGAAAAATTCTAATTCGCCCACCTCAATAATTTTCTTAAGGATCTGCCTGAATCGGAGTGTCAAAGCATCAGACTTCTTCTTCAAGAGGTTGCGACCTGTTTGAGCTCCCTTCAAACGAGCCTTCATGATGGTCTGAGCCCTGTTGCAGAAAAAGAAATAAAAATACCCTGCATCATCGAAATGCATTAAAGGGAAAAAAAAAAAACCTATGTTCATGTCAGAAGATGTAGTATGACTAATTATGAAGCAATGGAGAAACATCAGCATGGTACAACAGGAAACAATTTCAATTTATTTATTTCCAGTAGCAAACTTCCAAGTTTCTGGTGCAAAACTATGAACTGAAGAAGCAACTAAATCTCTCTTCCCTCTCGGCTGTGGAGGATATTTAATTTAAAGAATCTTTTTGACTTAACTAAAATCTCAGTCGCTATACTCATGCTAACTTAAGCTACTGCTTTGTTTATGGAGCTATAATGCACAAAGGACAACATTCAGGTCTGTAAAGAGAAGCCTACACACTTCCTCTCCGACCTTGGAAAAAATAAGCACCATTACGATTCTGTCTACACAGTGAACACAGTCACTTCTCCACTCCACTGGCTTGATATGAGAATAACTCCATTGAAGTCTACAAAAAGCACACGCACTTTCTGAATGTCCATGAGAAAAACAAAGTCCAAGAACAAAAAAGCAACTCGATGTTTCCAACAAGCAGGTCCCTGTTATCACCTTGAACTACCTTCACACTCTGCTCACCACCAGAGACCGGCTCCCTTTCTGGTTCAAGCAAGCTCTCACAGGCTGAGAGAGCATTTAAAAAGTCACGTTTACCATCAAGGAGGCTGAGCAGCTTCTGTAAGCAATCATAGCCAGCACAGCAGAGATCATGCCAGCAGCACAAAACAAATAAAGCTTGTACAATTCTGTCCTGTCAGTTAACAAAAAACTTTTTGGTGGGGGCAGGTCACCTGTATTTTTAACATCCTAACTTACACTCCTATCAACTATCAGCCATGTTATTGATCGATTACTTCAATGAAACAGATTTGGTAAATGTTAAATCCTTGTACATCACTGCCTTCCCACCACACTGATGTGGCAGCACGCAAAACAGCTACCTTTTGAAAGAGGCTGAGGTGCCTCATCCTCGGACACATAAATGGAATGAAAAGAGCCAGAGAGCAGCTGACTTGGTAGGTGCTATCATTTACTTCTGACTTGAGGTTCAGAAGAGAACCATGTAGCACATTAATCTTTCCATATAAACTGTTACATCTCCTGAGCTGAAACATGAAGGAAGGGTTATTATTTTACATCTGAAGCTTCCATCCTGCAAAACGCCCTCCACACAGATTAGATCCAGCCACCAACTTCATTTTATGAAAGAAAATTTGAAACTGCCTTTCTCCCCGAGGCTGAAAAGTTCTCAAGAGGAATGTGATGGCACCATTAAAACGGCATTTCTAACAGTTCGTCAGTTTTAAGCGCTTGTGTTCATTGCAACGCCGGCTGCTGTGCTGAGCCCCGTCAGGAGACACCTGACCGCATGACACACCGTCCGCCGCTCTCTGGGAGGCTACTGGAAATCTGACTGCACGCCGCACTTCCCTTTTTGCCCTTCTTTTTCTAAAGGCTGTACGGCCAGCCCGTCGTACAACGACACCGGCGTCCCCAATGGAACAGCAAAGGGCAGCGGCTGTTCGAGTCGTGCGTTTTCCCCGACACACGCACTCTTATCTCGCACGTGGAGTCCCGTGCAGCCACCAGCCGCGGGGCCGTCCGTGCGCGCCGACGGCTGGCTCCGAGCCGCCCGAGGACCCCCGCAGCCTCCGGCCGCTTAAAGACGCGTTTACACAAGAAGCGACGCCGGAAATCTCCCTCCCAACCCGGCGACTCGGTCCCGGGGCCGGCCGCTCGCCCCTCAGCCGGCCCGTGCCGCGGCCCGCCGACACTCACATCCGCGACGGGAAGATCTCGATGCGGTCCTTGCCCGACATGGTGGCGGCGGCGGCCGAACGGGCCCGGTCCGGCTGTCACCTCCCCGGCCGCCGGTCACGTGACGCGGCGCTACGCCCGCCCCGCCCCGCGGCGGAGGGAGGGGTTTCCCAGGGGGCGCTGCGGTGCGAGGCGGGCCGGCGCACGCGTGGTGGAGCCGGCGGCTGGGCGCACGCCGAGGCGGCAGCGGGGCAGCGCGGGAGGCAGGGTTGCTGAGCGCAGAGCGGGACCTCTCGGCCGTCGCCAGGTAACGGCTCCACCGGCGCCGCGCGGCCTCCGCTCTTCTGCTCTCGCCCGACGACCGGGCCGCGCTGAGTCCGGTCCGGGAGCGTGCGGGCTCGGGGAGGGGCGCGGCGTGGCCGAGGCCGGGCCTGGCCGCTTGGGCCCGGACGGGGCGAGAGGAACCGGCGGCGCCACGCGTGGCCCGGCCCGGCGGCTGCGGGCTCCTGGGCGTCTGCCGTCGCCGCGCTGCCGGACGTGGGCCCTCCCGCCGTCCCTGCGGCTTTCGTCGCCGGCCGCGTCAGCCACGCTGCGGCCGAGGGAGGAGGCCGGCCAGAAGTCGGTCTCGTTTCGCCGGCTCCCGCTCCAGCCTGTGCAGCCGGGCGGGGTTAAAGCTTAGCCTCGGCATTTCCAGCGGCGTGGGAAGATCCTAGAGTCGTAGAATCATAGGGTGGTTTGGGCCGGAAGGGACCTTTAAGATCACCTAGTTCCAATCCCCTGCTATTGGCGGGGACGCCTCTCTCTGGGCCAGGTTGCTCACGGCCCCGTCCGGCCTGGCCTTGGACGCCTCCAGGGAGGGGAGAGCATTTCCAGTGTACGGGGCCGACGCTGAGCGCTGGTGTCTGAGGAGAGAAACAAATGCACGGCGATCTGTCTTTGCTTACTGCGTTTGATGGACTGGAAAAGCGAACTGTAAAACATTGGGGTTTAAGCTTAGCGGTGTTTTTTTCAGGTCTCAGATTAGGTGGAGTTATGTGAAAGCTCCGGCGTTTCTGTAGCTTCTCTGCTAGTTTGCATCCCCTTTCTGAACATTAAAAAAGAAAATAACAATGCAGTCTTTTGTATTGTGCTTGGCATTATCACCCTAAAGTTCCGAAGCAGTGCTGTGACATGCTGATGTAACAAACCTGAGGAGGTGTGTGTTTGACTCAGCCTTGTGGGCTCCAGCTTCTGAAGTGTTCTTAAATTTCTGGATTAAACTTTCAGGTGTAGACAAAAGGAGTGAGGCTAACTCTGGTTAGCAGAGATGAGTGCGTGCATTGCTGCCCTCATCAGGGAAGTGAAGCAGGTCAAGCATTCATTTTTATTGCTATGTGGTTAAGAAATGTTTGTGTGTGCTTTTTTTTTTGAAGTACAGTGAAGGGATTCTGCTTTGTTTATCAACTTATGTTTTTTTCCTCCTGGTTACCTACATGTTAGGTTTTCTTTTGTGTTTCTTTTTTTTTAAATCATTTTTAAAGTCTGTTCTGTTCAGTGCTTCATTCACATCAGGCTACTTCTACCTTCTGTTCCAGTTCTTTCTTTTATTTCTTCAGAAAGCTGACAGGTGGCCTCAGGAGTAGTTCCTGCAAGATTGTTCCAACTATCTTGTGCTGAATGTAGAAAACCACTTTCTAGTGTCTCTTCCTTCTCAGTAGAGGAGAACTTTGCTCTACCTCTTACTTTCTCAGCCTTTCACATGCTAGCAGTGTTTATGGAAATACCTGTTAGCAATGTGGTTTCTTCTTTACCATGTCCTCCTGTTGCTGAAGCCTGGTTTACAACTTTAATTTTATCTTATGAACTGGGTGAATATAAAAGTGCAGTGCCTTCTTTTCACCACTTGAAGTCTCCTCTCTATCGTACTGCTACATGGATAATAAAGTTTGAGTAGCAAACTTTTACTTTCTTGCGAAAAAGAAAGTTAGAAAAAGGTTGTGCTTGTTTTAAAATACCAATTAATCTATAGCTTATCTGTTAAAACCGAACTATATGCTACCTAAGCCTTATCCTAGTTTGCTCTTTCCAGTGTTAGTGTTCCTCTCTACCTCGTTGCTCTTTGCTGCTTTTTAACACTTATGTAGGAGAAGGCAATGATGTACTCTGAAATAAGTCATCCTCGTTTCTTTTTGTTCACATTCCAGAATGCCAGCACTAAGCTGTAGGTTCTACCAGCATAAGTTTCCAGAGGTGGAAGATGTAGTGATGGTCAATGTTCGATCCATCGCTGAAATGGGTGCTTATGTCAGCCTGCTAGAATACAACAACATCGAAGGCATGATCCTTCTCAGTGAGCTGTCCAGAAGACGTATTCGTTCCATAAACAAACTCATCCGCATCGGAAGGAACGAATGTGTCGTGGTCATAAGAGTTGACAAAGAGAAAGGTATTTGGGGATACTATGGGGATATATCAAGATTGAATTCATAAAGGGAAATGTGGACAAACTGGGCTGCTTAAGTATGAGTAGTTTTGCCAGGAGTTCTTCGTGTGAGGCACTTAAGCTAAATAGACCATCATCCTATCATCTGATGTTTATGACCATTTTTCCCTTTGGTAATTGGGTTAATGAAGGTCAGTCACATCACCAAAGATTTGCTTAAATGGTTACGTGCCAGCTCAGTGTTTTGTTAGCAAACTGTAGTGGAGTTTCTTTTTGATATCGGTGCAGATTTTAAGTCCTGACTGAAGAGAGAAAAGGTCATCTACTTTAGTAATGGAATGTAATGCTTGCAGTCTAACCTGTGCCACAATAAGTGTCTTGAATCTTGCCTATAAAATAGATCATATGTATGTAATTATTACATGCATTCTATAGAAGGTCACAAATTGAGTTTGTGCAGACTTTTCCTGTGTTCTGAACATCTCAATCTTTGACTTTAAAGGTTTTTTTAGATATATTTTATTTAGGGCATGGTTTTTGAACTTGGTTCTTTGTATGTTTGTGTGATTTTTCCCAAACCTGTGTGCAGTGACAGAAAAAGGGGCTCACAAATTGATGAAATACTATGCAAATTTCTTCTGGATTAGGAGGGAAATTATTCTTAAGGCACAAACCTACAAGAATACAATAGAATAGTTTCTCAGTTGTAAGCATTTATAGTTGAAAGAATAAATTGATACCTTCATTTAGATTATGATTTGGTCAAAATCATTAAACTTCAGTTTTGTTACTTTCTTTAGCAACTGATAGGAATAGTGTAGGCAGTGGGCAAGTCTTGAGCCTGAGCTACACCTTCCACGTGAAGCAGTTAGATTTGGTTTGTGCAGTGTCTGACAATTCCAAAATGGTTTTTCCCCGGTAGGTTATATTGACCTGTCAAAAAGAAGAGTTTCTCCAGAGGAGGCAATCAAATGCGAAGACAAATTCACAAAATCAAAGACTGTAAGTTGCTTTTCTATATTCTGGCACTGTATGCTGCTGTCTTCTTACCTGAATGACCTAAGTGCATAGACATAACATAGCATGAGAAATAAAGTCATATTCTCATTTGTTAGGCATACTGTGATTGTCATTTCCCACATAATATATAACCAGTCTGTCTGAGTGCTGTGGAAAACTGATTATTAGGTAATTAATAGATCAAGTAAGGTGACAGTTAAAAATCCGTATTAAAAGGATGATATTTAAATGCTAGAAATCCAGAAGCATATCCTAGTTTAACGCATCAGGCAAATTGTATTGGAGAAGGATGCAGATAGTTTTAAGGCATTGCATCTCACTCTTACTGCTCTGTGGTCGTAGGTTTCTAAAAGAAATGCTTACTGTTATTTATTAATTTGATTCTGATTTTTTTTTATGTACAAGTATACTGAGTCTTTAACAACCTGATAATACTTCATCTGTCAGTTTCCATGGGAGAATTATTTTGTCTTTGTAGTTGCACAGCACAAGTTTAGATTAGTAAAGTGGTTTTGATGTTTTGTGGGCACGTAGAACTCTTAATTGGTTGTTAAATATAGGGAAAGAGTATTTTGCAACATCATGCAGCATTGAGAATCCAAACACTGAATCACTGATATTTTTTACAGTGTTTTTATCAACTGTTTGAGGTCTGGGTTGTCATGTGCAGAACTCTGCTTCATGCTGCACAATCTGAGTAGGAGTTGGTCATTATGCAGGAGTGGATAAGTGAGGGGGAGGGTTATTTCATTTTGTTTTTTTTTTTTTTAATATCCCTTTTGTGCTCAAGGTGTACAGCATTCTTCGCCACGTTGCTGAGGTGTTGGAGTACACGAAGGATGAGCAGCTTGAGAGTCTGTTCCAGAGGACTGCCTGGGTATTTGATGACAAGTACAAAAGACCGGGATACGGTGCTTATGATGCATTCAAGCATGCAGTCTCGTAAGAACGTTTTTTCTGTCTTTAGAGATTTATTTCATAATGACAAGGAACTATTTTTTGGAATAGATACATCTTTATTTTTTTAAAGGATCAATCAGTTGAGAAGAATGTAGTGCTTGAGTACGCTTATTGATTCTTGTTCTCAGTCTTCCAGTTGCTTACCATAGTTATCTCTCTCACTACTTTGTTCAAGTTTCCAATGCTCTTGAGAAGGAAGATTCGAGTTTTTTTCTTTTTACCTGTCTTTGAATGTCCAATTTTGCCTAACTCGGTCTTCTAAAAGCATAACGGAATTTGATATGGATGAATAGTGAGGCACTCCCTGGAAAGAATGTTTAAGAGAAACAGGTTATTCCAAACACTGAGGAGACTTATATGGCTACAGATGAGCCTGCGATGTTTCTAGTAGAAACAGCAGCACTAATATTGGTTTCTCTGTCAGAATTTACCCGTTCTTATACTGCATCAGGTGTTCTTATCATATATAGTTCTGTCTGAAGAGATTTCAGCTTGCAGCTCATTTGTCTGTCACCGGCAGAACTTTTCTTTTATAAATGCAGCAGATTGTTTTGTTAGTTCTTTGCACATCCAAACTGAAAGAATGAAAATAGGATGATGAGTCTAGAAATGGAATTACAAACAGAAGAATTGGAAATGGTGATTCTAAGGGAGTATGCACCAAGATTACTTGTTGTTGATATTTTTTATTTATGATACTTTAATTTACTTTCAGAATGATGTTATTTGGCTTCCCTCTAATGATTCTGTAATAAAATTGGCAACAAAATAAATTTTTCAGTAAGTGCTTCCAGTTTTATTTCTTATAGCACCTAAATCCTTGAGAGGAACATCAGCATAACATTAGAGGGCAGTGATAAGATTGTAGAAAATCATATTGAGTCAAAGAAGCAGGGCACATGGCAGTATTTTTCATTAGCTTAAAATCATTTTTTGTTGTTTTGGATAAGAGAAAACAGCTATAGACCTTAGGGGAGCTGCTTTCTTATTTTCTTATTTCAGAGATATTTGGGATAAAACTAACATGGCAGTAGGGAGAAATGACAGCTTGTGGAAAAAATTTTATCCTTTCTTTAGCTGTGAATGCAGCCAGCAGATAGATCTGTCTGTGATCCAGTTACTGTTAAAAATTATTAAAGAATAATATGTTACTTTGTAGAAAGATGGGAATCTTTCTTTTGTATGAGAACTCAAAAACCTCAGGTTCATTGCGAGTTTATCTTCACATTGGAGGAAACATAAATGGCAAACAGTTAGATGTGTTTCTCATTCTATATATAATGTACAAGGCAGAAGACATTACTGTTTTTTTGGTTGTTCGATTTCTTAGACAGCAGGAAGAAGCAGATTAAGTAAACCGTCTGCTTTAAGTGTTTCCATTATAAAATACACTGTAAACAGATTTTTTTAAATTTTCTTCCAGTATTTCAGTGGCCTCTTAAGAAATTTGTGTGTTCTCTTTGCTAATAAATCCACATTATTATGTGTAAGAATATTGAAATAATGTCAGAGGTTCATGTTGTGTCGTATCCTACTTCAGTACAACTTCTGTACTGTTTCTTGTCTTGGCTCAGAGATCCTGCCATCCTGGACAGCCTAGATCTCACAGAGGAGGAGAGGCGTGTGTTGATTGACAATATTAACAGACGTCTGACTCCACAAGCAGTCAAAATCCGAGCTGGTGAGTTCTTTCCGGATCTTTACTGAATAGTTTTTGACACTTTAAGTAGGCTGTATCTTGTAAACTACAAACTCATTTCAGACTAGTGGCTAAGGTGCTGAATTTTGAGAGAAGCTGATCTTTTAGAATTAAGCTGTGTCCATTGAGAAGCGATAGCAGAATGTGTGTATGGATCCTGACTCAAAGTCCAAGCTGGTTTGGCTTTCCCACTGCTCCCACTCTCCACGTGCAGATTCCTTGGGACACAGAAGTGGTTCTAGTATATGAAATCACGTTGTGCTTGCACACAAAATACTTAAATATCTTTTTATGGATTCAGTAATATCTATACTTTTTCTCATTATTGAAAGTGTTAAATTCTTTTGTTCTCTATTAGGGTGATTGATCTTTGTCAGCGTTGTTGGGTCAGATGTCCTGTCCAATTATACATAAACAGAGACGATTAGTTCTGACTTTGCTTCAGTTGTATTTCTTGCTGGTTGAGTGCAAACCACTCAGCTGGACATATTAGTTTAAGCCAAGCCTGTATGTAACGTATTCATAAAGTTTGAGCATCTTTGTTTCAGTACCTCAGTGTTGGTACAGAACAAGCATGCAGCTCCAGTTTACTTAAGAAGATGCTGTAAAATTGTAGATATGGTTATACAGCTAACCAAACAGCTTAAAAGCATACTTGCCATTAAATACGTAGTCAGTGAGCAGTGTTGTGTTTTTAACTGCATTCAGAAACTATCTTTGCTCTGCAAGTGTACACTGAAGAGCAGTAACAGTTACTGACTGCTATGGAGGGAAGAAAAGATATTCCATATCCACGTGACAGTCAAGTTAAAGGGAGCACAGAAAGTGAGATCATGAAAATTCTACTTATTAATTTAGGTCACCAGGAGTTAACATAAACTTCAAATATGTGAGTAGGATTTGATTGCCATGAAGAATGGAATTGATAACATAAACAACACTTGATTTAGTTTTGAAAATAAAGTGCATTTGAAGGGCATGTTCACATACTTTTCTTCATCTTGCCTGTTTTGTTCTGATGGTCTAAGTTTATTTGTAATTCAAGCATACAGATTTTCCATTGGCTTACAGTCTCATCCTGAGGTAGAGGCTGACTGGGGTGCTTTCCTGGGAATATGTTTGGGATGGCTGAGAATTAGGGTGTTACTGTCAGTCACCTGGAGGGAGATTAACTCCTCTGTAGAAGTAATCTCTTGCACTATTTCTATATGGATTTAAAAAAGAAAAATGAAAATCTTTTAAAACTAATTAGGAAATTATGGATGTGACCAGCAGAAGCCTGGGCCTTCATTTCATTTCCAAATGTTTAGAAAAAGCTATAGCTAGCTATTATTTTTAACTGTATCTTAATATGACTTATCTTCAAAATAATAAGAAATCTCCATGTTTCTAAGGATGAGTTTATTGTAGTTGTTGTTGGCAGACTTCTGTGAATTTGTTGCTTTGCACTGTCTTGAATTTTGATTTTCCTGATCTTTTGTTTTCTTTGGTATTTATTCCTTGATCTCTCCATGTTAAATATACCATTGTTCTTGAAGAATTAAATGCATCACTATTATCCTGTTGAATTTATTGGGCTGGGAGTGAGTGAATATGGGTGCATAATTTCATATCTAGGATTTTCAAAGCACAATGTAAAATGTTCTAATATAAAGAATTTAAGACATCTACATCAGCTTACAAGCCAAGAAGTTGAAATACTTCCTCTATTTTGGAACATACTGGGGGTATCATTGTGAATAAACATTGGTTGCTAAGAAACTTTATTACAGCTTAGGTTAAAAAAAAAAAAAAGTTTTAAGCTTTTACAGCTTCTGATAACTTTAAAGTTTTTTTTTAATTTCTATTAATCTCTCCTAGATATCGAGGTTGCATGTTATGGTTATGAAGGTATAGATGCAGTGAAAGAAGCTCTGAGAGCAGGATTGAACTGTTCCACAGAGAACATGCCCATTAAAGTAAGTGACTGTCTTAATCGTGAAATCCAAAGCAAAGTTTTCAGTACTGTTCATTTGTCACAGTCACATAGCTGAGGGAAGCCGTGTCCTTACATCCTAGTTTTCTTGTCTAGCACATGCACAAGACTTCCTTTCTGCTATGTGATTCCAGTTGTTCCTGTGACTGTGCTTGTGGCTGTTCATTCCAAGTTCAAGAAGCTGTTTTTATTCTCTTCAATTGATTAATGACTACTGTTTGCATACTAAATACTTACTGTTCCTTTATATAGCCTTATAGCAGGTAGGGAGCAAAAAACTTTATTTTCAGAAACAAGACTTTATAAGAAAAGGAGTATTTTGTCCACATATGTTTGGTAGAAGGGCTGCTCATACCTAGGTATAAATTTTCCACTCCAAACACTTTAGGTTATTCAGTGTTACTACTGAGTGTTTTTAAAATCTTACAAGTACTTGAAAATATTTTCTTACAATGATTTCTTATAACAAAAGAAACAATGTACTCATCCAGTTGTCTTTTTAAAAAAACAACCCACATATTGGTTGTTACAGTCTTCTGAAAAATTAGTGATAGACTGCTTTAATGGTGTGGGTGTTGGTATTCTCAACAATATTTGTCTAAATGAGCATAACATATAGGAATAATTGGTTTTTGTACCAGGAATTAGACAGTCTGTGTGGTTTTTTGTGTGCTATTTTTTTCCAAGTTATGCATGCTTTCAGAAACAGCTTTGCTAATGGAAAAATGTTTATTTTCTTCTGCTGAGCATGTTTTACTGTTGTTTATTTGGTTTTCTTTTCCTCCCTATGATGTGCAATAGATCAATCTGATAGCTCCTCCTCGGTATGTGATGACTACTACAACACTGGAGAGAACTGAAGGCCTCTCTGTTCTGAATCAAGCCATGGCTGTCATTAAAGAGAAAATTGAGGAGAAGAGAGGAGTCTTCAATGTGCAGATGGAGGTGAGAACACTTTGCATTCTAGAATGTAACTGATTTACTTCATAATATTTTGCAAGTACAGTAAGATCCACAGCACTAGGAGAAGTTTTAGCAAAAGGCATTAGGAAACCTGGAAAAAAAAAAAAGTAAAACAAAGTTCAGTGTTCCTGAAATAATTGAATGACCCAAAATTCTATGTTTCTTCTGTTTTATTAAACAATCTCTGGATACACATTTTATTTCTTGATCTAGGATCAGAACCACCAACCATAATTTTATTTTCCTTCTCAATCTGTAGATAGTATTTTTTAATTGTTTTTCACATGTTCTTGTTTTTTGGTTGTTTTTTTTTTTCAGCCTAAAGTTGTTACTGACACAGATGAGACTGAGCTTGCAAGGCAGTTGGAAAGACTGGAGAGGGAAAATGCTGAAGTGGATGGAGATGATGATGCTGAGGAAATGGAAGCAAAAACCGAAGACTGAATACTCTGGGATATTTAGAAGAGAAAGCATATGAAAAATTAGAGACCCCATTGCAAACACTCTGGACTAAATGTTTCCAGTATTGAAAACTTCAAATGCAAATACTTGAAGTATGTTACTGGTTTTAAAAGACCAATAAAGCATCTCCTGAGTAACATTTGATGCAGCAACTTACAAATTGAATCCTTCAAAAGAAAGGTGCCAAGTGATATTCAAGACACAAATCTCACGACCAGAGGGAGGCTGCAGCTCCATATTTAACACTTACGTACATAACAATTCCAGGTTGGTGATTGCAGCTCAGTTAATGATGTCTTCTATAAGCACGAAAACCACACAGATTGAACAGTTCTATACAGGATGTATTTGAGCAAATATCCAATAAAGTTCTGGGCTATGTAACCTGAAGCTTCTTTTTTTTTATATTTTGTTAAATTGCCTAGAGAGCTATCTTCAGTTGGTGATTCCCCTTTAATGCTGAAAAGGGAATACTGAAAAGGGCTTTCTTGTTTAAAATCAAGGCAAGAATTAGTGAAATCATGTTTTGATTTGTTTTTGTTTTTTTTACAAGTTTGTTGATGTAGAGTTCCTTAGAGGAGTATTTTTCTTCTGCATTTAGGTACTCAGATGTTACAGCTTCAATAAGTATAGTTGATAACAGAAATATAGTTACTTTATTCCTGTACGTGAATATAGCAGGAGCTTTAATGAATTTATTCATACTTCAAAATAGTTAGTGCTGTATTCTGAGCTAACTATTGTATGACCTTCCAAGTCCGTGTATGTTAAATCTAGTTTACACTGGGCTGAACTGTTTATCTTCTCAAAAGAAGAGAAACAAGATGGGCTTTCCATGAAGTGGGAAAAAACCTCCAGTTTGCCCTTGACTGTGGGAATTGAGAGGACAGTTCTTTTTAAAAATGAAACTTGTTCTAATTTTTAATGTATTTATATTTTTTCATAGTTATAGAATATATTTCACATTAAGAATATGAAAAAACTATGAAAAATATGAAAACTATGAAAAAGAAGGGAAAAAGACATGCAATATATATTCTATATATTCTATATTGCATGTCTTTTTCCCTTCTTTTGTGCTGTTTCAGGATTAAATGCATGGAAAAATGCATTTTTAGATGTTAGGACAGCCTTGTCATGGTTTGAAGTTGTATTCTGCGTATCTAATAACTTTCTGGTTTTCTTTCTCAATTCACTAAAACAGTGAATTGACCTCTGTTACCCACAACATGTGAGTACTCTGACAAAAGAACAGAGTATTTAAGAAGTGAAATATCTTCCTGTGATCTGTATACTGAGGTAATGCTGTGAAAAATTGCATTGAAAATGAGCCAGCCCTACTTGTAATAGTGTTAGCAAGGGATTACAGTTAGTGTTGCCTGTAAGAGCTATTTTGCTTTATTAATAGGTGGACATTGTTTCTGTCAGTAACTGACTGGATATGTTGCAGTAGCAGGAAGTAGGAGCTATGAGATGGCTGATGTAGGGCTGTTAGCAAGGTACCTGAGGCAGCACTGAGAGCTCAGCTTCATTCTACTGTGTTGGTTTTCACGTCAGTGCCTTGGGTAGCCTGTTGAGTTGAGGATCCTTAGCACTTGTTTTCCTTCTGTCTCAGCCAGTCTGTTTGGTATGTCTGTGTGTTTGCCTACCACGCACTTTGGTAAGTGTTACGGGGTTTTTGTGTGAAAATCTCTGTAGAATATTGAAGTCATGTGTTCCTGTTGTTCATTAGCAACTATGCTGCCTGCTAGACTGTAATTGTAGGACCAATGTCTCTGCTACAGTGCTCATGTAGTCAACTGAAGGGGAAGGTACGGATGTAACTGCAGGCAGATGTAACTATAGCATCAGATGTGAGGATCTCAGCTTGATTTTCATATCTTAAATTAGTTTTGTAAGCTAGCAACTTGAAAGCCATTTTGCTTAGAGAATCCTTTAAGGAGTCATTAATACAAAGAGACACAAATGTTAAATGAGATCAAGCACACCATCTGGTAATGCAGTCCTATGTCCTGTTTCTGATTAGAAGAAGTAGTGGCTGCTAACAGAGGAGTGTCCAGCTTTCTTGGGGTGGTTGTATTTTGTTTGGCTCTCAATAGAGTGAAAATTCCTTGCTTTATTCTTGTTTGATTCTGGCCTTCATTATTTTTCAGATGCAATGGAACTGGCATATTGTTCTTTGTAGCCAGATCTGTGTTTAATTTCTCATAGATTTTTTTGGTCCAGAGAACAAACAGCTGAACAGCTGTTTTCAAACACTGCCACACTTACACAGTTAATTTACAAATGCTCTTGCATCAGATTACTCATGAACATTTGCCATCTTCCACTTTCATCTAGAAACATTTCATCTTTTTTTTTTTTCCATTTTATTTCATCCCCTAATCCACTCAAGGAACTAAAGATTTAATGGCATCCTACTCCAGGCGACAAAGTCTCAGCATTTTAAGAAACTGTTTGGGAAAACTTCAAGTACGTAATCCCCCACTGTGATACTGTTCACATTATTATATGTAATGGGAACTATAGAGCATGCTATAGGGGAAGTCCTTCGGGTGGGTTCTCATCCTTTGCTTGTTGGGGGACTAAATGGGAGGCACCAGTAATAAAATAAAGCAATCTGTGTTTCCTTTTAATCATGAGCCTGTGATCTTGAAGTTGCAGACAGGTGTTCTTGGCCATCTTAATGCAAACTCTATAGTATGTAATGTATTTTCTGGTCACTTGGAATGGAAAAATTTGTCTGCCACTCAAAATACTATGCTGACATATGGAAAATACAGTTTGAATGGATCTGAGGAAACAAATAGTCCTTATGGTGATTTTCAAGTTCTGTCACAGGCTTAGTTTTTTATAGCTTTCTAGATTTTATATGGTTCAAAGCTCATCCTTTTCTCCTGAGAGACTTAAATGCTTGAACTTGCCTTCCCGGCATGTGCCTCAGTATGACAGGCACATGCTATAGCATGATCTACTGACCCATTTCACAATGTGTGACCCTTTTCCTACAAAGCTGAGAGATCTGTTATTACTCAGCCTCAGGGAGCAATCTATGGACAGTCGGTTAGCCTTGCATCACCTCTACAGAATGGGGAGGGTTGGATATGTATGTATTACAAATATCCCAAGTATCAAAGAAGTACTTCCAAGTGTTAGAGTAAGTAAAGGCTCCTGTTTATCAAAACTACGTGGTATGGGACCTGTTGCTTGGTGACCAGCCAGGGGGGGATTTTTCTTCACCATTCTTCATCAATTTTACAATAGAATTCATTGTTAGTGGTGATTTTGCTGAGATACGTCTGTGGGGCTGTGGGTGGTCTGCATGCTGGAAAAAAGAAGTGCTCACTCAGAACTTGGACCAGGGCTGATTATTGTGTAATTCTGAGATCACTGTCTGAGCCAGAGCTCTCTGCAAGCTCCTGCCTGTCCTCACCAGCATGGAATTACCTTCCCCACCTGGTTACGGGCTGCCTGCAGTAACAAGCTGAACAACATGAAGACAAACCTCAAGTACAACGTGCTGGAACGTAGTATTCCTGGAGCCTGTTACATAAAGCACGCAGGTCTGGGAAACAAATGCAATATCAATGCGTTGTTTCTACCTTGATTCATGGCTGCTTTTCCTCGATTCAGCATTGGTAGCATCTTCAAGTGCCCGCTTGGATGAATAGTGCATATACTTTCAGTTACTGCCTGAAGTTTAACAGCTGTGGGACAGTGCAGATGTGTAGAGGGTTAACTTCAATTCTGATATACAGAGAATTTAGTGTCATGATGTTATTTACTGCTTTTCTGTTGACTACATCAGTTTTGTTTCCAAGATTCTGCTGAATGCATGCTTTTACTTACGTATGCACCTATGCATGTGAATACGGGTTGTTCTTAAAGAAAAAAGTATTTCAGTTCCTTTGTACTTAAAGGCCAAAAAAACAAAGAAGCATTTTTCTTTATGAAAGTTTACACTGATATCTTTGAAAACACCAAATACCTGCAAGTGAAACTGATCCTCTGCGTGTCCTGTTAAGCTCACTGCATTGCTTCAGGCAGTCTGAAGAGCAAACCGGGATCTGGCCTTCGCAGTGGCAAGCAGGGTACAGAAGGAACTGCTCACTTCAGGGTGGGTTCCTGCATTTGAGATCTCAGCATTCTTTTTGCTTATATGGGATTTTTGGTTTTTAGTTTTGATTAGCAGTCAGTTGCCCACTGTATTTCTCATGATTTATGCAGGGCCATTTTTTGGGCAGTCTCCAGTATGTTGTCATGTTTAACACCTTCTTTAGTATCTCCCTTTTCCTTCCTTGGCAGAAATGTAATAAAAAAATAAGATAATGACTTGCTTGGTCCGTTTCCTGCGTGCATGAAAGTGTGACCAGCAGTCTGAGCAGAGTGCAAACACAACTGAGCTGCTTGAGAGAATGTGGCTGACTGAAGAACTCTATTTTTATTCACACTTTTTTTTTTTAATGCATAGCAACGGGTGCTCTGTTATGCTTTGTTGTGCAGTGCGTCATGCTTCTTATCACAGTCTGTACCTTTATCTGCATTCATCACCTCCATTTAGCTACGAGTCAGGAAATGCTCACAGTACAGCAGACTGTATGCTGCAGCTGTCTGAAATGCTGTTATACTGTTACTCATTTTGACTGACTTCATCAGAACCTATCAAATATGTTTGTCGTGCCTGAGGTTTTAAAAAATGAAATAATGCTCAGGCACAAAAAGGCACTGTTTCAGACGTTTTCCAGAGTTTCAAGAGGTCACTGTACAGTGTTTGCCAATCAAACTGCTGTTCCGAAAACCCAAGCAGTTGCTTCCACAACAATTTAGGTTGTTAAGTTTAAGTGCAGCCATATCCCTAACTATGCCTACGTGTCCAGCGACCACTGAAAGCAGGGAGGGCTTTGGGAGACTTTGGGGCTTCTTCTGTAAAATGAATTTGTTGAAGCAGTTTATTTAGGTTTGTAAAGTTCTCCTTGTGCTCGCTGTACCTGTTACACTTGGGCTGTTCTGACCTGTAACACCCTCGAAGATGCACTTATCAGATGAGACACTTAATTCCATGGAACAGCTTTGTCTGAGATGTTGAGGTGCGGTTTTATGGTGCTGCTTCTCCCCCCATGCAGCCCCGTGTCTCACCTCATTTCCCGTTGTGAAGCTGCTGCCTGTGTTGGCTTACTCACCTCAGGGTGGTTTTTTATTGCTCTGAATTCTGTGAAATTCCTTTGAGATCCTTTTCAGACCTCCCTTTGTTTCTCTCCCCAGAGGGCAGGTAATGCACCAGAGCCAGCTCAATGTTTAACTAACATCTCATAGGTAGGAAGAAAGTGAGAAAGAAGGGATGGGAGCATACGTCACACTGGAGGAGGAGGATCACGGAGAAAAATGAGCTCTCCTCAGCTCCAGGCGTGCAGAGGAACGGGCTGGCAGGGCCTGGGTGCTTCTCGGCAGGACGAAGATCTGCTCTCTGTGGGCTGTGATGGAGGAGACTACTGGAGTCCTGAAGGAGGGCTTCCTTGTCAAGCGGGTAGGTGCTGTGGCCTTCTTCGCACTGTTCTCTCCATAGAGGAAAGCAACCCCTGAGGGGCCTGTTCACGTGGGTTTGTGGGCCCCCCAGTCTCCTATAGGGGAGCTGCAGGCTCCGACTGCCCTCCTGCGAGTTCCTCATGCAAGGTTAGCTCAGAGGGGAGGGAGCTATCAGCATGGCTCAGCTACCAGAAAAATGGGCACACCTCTGCAAGGAGCACACAGAAATATTGCCTGGCAAAGGCTACGTGGCAGCAGGGAAGTGGCCATGTGAAGGCTGGATGCAGGTGTTGGACAGCCTCCTCACACAGCTTGTGCCTTTTTTAGCGGGCGCTGACAGGGTTTGCTATTCTGTATGGGAGGATGGGGAACAGGTTGTCCTTTTTTAAGAGGATGAGAGCAATACAAATGTAGGAATGCGTCCTAAGTATCTACTTTCTTCTACAACTCCAAGTTCCAGTGTAAGAGGTGAGAAAACAACAGGACAGTGTGACAGGTTTCAGCCTTTCCCAGTACTTCTCTCCACAGAACCGAGTCAGCCATGGCAGGGACACCAGGGGGCACTGAGCAGCCTTCAGGACAAAGGCTCAGTGACTAATACGGTCTTTGCACAATCCAAGTGCAATTCAAAGGTTTGTTCAAAGCTTTGCCACGCCTTAGGAAATGCTTTTCTGCACTACGTGTCAGCACTTCTGGTGCTAACATGATGGTAGCAGGATCTCTGCTGGTGGGACAGCTGCGGGCCACGTGCGGTCTGAGCTGCTCCTCAATGCCCCTTCCATGGAGCAGGAGGAGCACTCCCAGCTCCTGCTCTTGTCTCCAGGCTATGGTCGTGCTCTGTGGCTCTTATATGGCTATTGGATTTGGGATGGGAAACAAAGGCACCGTATCTGTGAGAGGAACATCAGCATTGTCAGCATGCTGAACTGAAACTACCAAAAGTCTGTGAAATTGGGTAGGAAAGAGACCAGAGAGAGGATGAATAAGGGAAACTGAGGGAGGAGGGAACAAGAATGGGAAGAGATTCAGAGAGGAAAAAAAAGGGGGGGAGGGAGGGATGTGATCAGGTAAAGGAAGAAGATTTGTGAAGGAGAATGGAATAGATACAAGGAGAAAGGCTCAGTGAGTTTAAAATGACTGAATTAGGTATTGTAATGTTCTGTACTTCCAAAGTAAAACACATGAGAGTGAGGTAAAGTTAAAGAAAAAGAGAAATACCACCTCCTGAAAAAGAGGAAATCTCCAGGAAGGAGAGTGATAACAAAGGAAAGACAGCCAAGGGCATTTGCAACAGGTAAGAAAAACTATGAAGAAGGTGAAGGGAAGAACAAAACCAAGCTGGATAGACTGTGTTTAGTATAGATTCAAAAGCATTAGATCTAATGTACTTTGGATTTTAGAGACTTGTTACGCTTCCTTTATTGGAAATTGCTGAGCTTCTCCTTCACTCACAGCAAGCTAAAGGGGTTCGATTCCTGTCATGACCAGACCTTGCATAGTCCTTCCTCCAGGCAGTGCCTGCTTCTCCCAGCCCCAGAGCTTCCTATGCCCGGCACTGTGCCTGCAGTCCATGATGCTCCCTCACTCACAGAAAGGCAGCCAGCTCCTGGCTGGGCCGACCTGCAGAGAGAACTGGGCCTGCTGGTACCCCACCTCACTCATCGTGCTCTCCTATGCACTTGGGCAAAAGGCAGCTGGGGGCTATTTATGGTGAGGAAAGAGGAAGTATTTTATTCTGTATAACCTAGAATGTATCTGACAGCAGCCCTCATTCAGTCTTTTATCAGTAAAGAGAAAAATTCATTTGCAGGAAATGGTAGCACAAGGAGAGTTTCAGCCCGGGAGGCTGAGGCAGGCAGCCTCCCAGTAGCAACATGAAGGGATGCAAGGAAAAGACAAGTCACATTTCTACACTCACTCTGTGATTTTGTGTAGATGAAGCTCTGTTATTTCTTTACTAAATATACATATTTTAGGGAGAACAGGACTCACAACAACTTCTCGTGATACTTTTCAATTTGTTGTTGATTTATGGTATTCCACAAAAAAGAAGGAAAAAAAAAACATTTTTCCAATGCTTATGTTAATATGTGGATTTCTTCCCCTCTAGGGACATATTGTTCATAACTGGAAAGTAAGATGGTTCGTTCTGCTACAGGATAAGCTGCTGTATTATAAACTTGAAGGAGGCAAGAAGGAGTCTTCTCCAAAGGGCAGGATCCTTTTGGACGGCTGCACTATTACTTGTCCATGTCTGGAATACGAGAACAGACCGGTATGGCTGGAAACATGTACCCCTCCTCCATGACACTCACTTCTTAATTTCTCCCTTATCTTTCCCCTCCTCTTGATTTCTTTAACTGTTGCAACCATATCACTGAGGTATGTATTTCCAGGAGTAGGTGCAGCCAAAAGCAAACAGCCATTTGCAATGTAACCAGGACTAGAAATTAACTCTTTCCTTGTGTCTCTGTCATCCCTTCTGCTCAAATCTGGGGCACATTCATCAAAACAAACGAAGTCTCTTCCATGCACACTGGAACAAATGCATCAGCCTAAGAGTGTGCAAACAGTGGACATAAGCAGCTCAACAAAACCTGAGGAGGACTGGGAAAAAATGGCAGCTCATCACCCCAGCAATTGCCCTAAACCCAGCTGTCTCCATGGAGTGCTCCTGGCCATTTCAGATTCCCTTTTCCATTCAGTGGGACTTCACTGCTGTGGAAAGCTTTCAGCAGAAAGTCTGTGGAAGGGAAAGTGCCTCCTGTGCTTCTCTGCTCACCAGTGGGTGGCTGTCACATAGACCTCTCCGGAGCGGGGCCAGAAGGAAATGACTCTGTAAATTGTTTACTATTTCAACCTTCCTCGTGGCAGAATGAGCCTAGAGAGAGTCTGTAATTGCACAGAAACCAGAGATCTGGATGTGAAGGCTCTGTGGTCAGCAGAACACTGCTATGTACTCTGGTATCTGGGTGACGTGTTCTCTTCCAAGCTTGTGCTCTATGCACGCAAACCATGCTTTTAACTGAAAACTCAGGGATTTAGGGGGGAAAAAAGTTCACTCTCCCCAAAACAGAGCTGTGCCCAGCATCCTTCAGGTCAGTAGTTTCTTGCTACTACCCAGCTGGGTTGCCATAACACACCAATTTCTTTTACTTGGACCAGTGGTGAAAGAAGCAAAATGCAAGTGAAGAACAAAAGCTAAACATTGTTACTGCTTTGCACTTCTCTCTTTGCAGTTACTTATCAAACTAAAGACAAAAACCAACACAGACTATTTCCTTGAATGTTGCTCTAGAGAAGAGCGAGACTCTTGGGCTTTGGACATCACTGGAGCTATTCATGCTGGTCACCCAGTGCAGGTGCAAGAGCTTCACAGAATGAAGAACTCTTTCAAACTGCTAGAGAACATCAGCCTCCAGTAAGTGTTCATGGTTTCTCCTTCCACTGTTGCTGTACTCTGCAAAGCACTTGAGCCACTGGATGAGATGGTGAAGGGAAGCTTCTCTCAGCACAGATCTGCTCCTTCATCACCAGGAGCGTCTACACTGGCTGCTCCCTCCTGGGTTTGCACACACTATAGCCAAGGCATGGGAATGCACTTCTTCCTGACCCCAATTTTTGGCTGTATGGAGGTTCTGCACAGGCACGTCACTGCTGGCTTGAAGGCTACTCAGCTGCAGAGATATTCAGGCTGGGGTGATCTTGCAAGTGGTAACATCACAGAAAGACTGAGAGATGACTTTGTACATGCCATGGTGGTAAGCTCTCAGAGCTGACAGCCAGAGTCCAGAGTAGGATTTTTAGGGTACACCACATTAAACAATAATTTCTATTAGGGATAGAAGAATGGAGTTAATTTAATTCAATTTGTGTTGAAAAAGTATATGAAATCTGGCTCTGGTTCAATTTGAAGTGCTTTAAAATGAAGGACACATTGTAAGGCATCCTGCTTAGAGCTCTGCATTGGGAGAATAAAGTTTTGCTACACCTCGCTTAGCACTAAGGGTCAGAGAGGTATGTAGGTTGTTTCACAGCTTTGTGCTGGTAATCTTCAGGGCATCCTAGGCACAGACAGAAGCATGTGACAATTTCTGCCCATCTTTCTACTTATGTAACTTTGTCCTATGTACTCTTCTACAGCCACATAGTGGATAAAATGCGTGACAGCAGTACTGGAATTAAGCTGACCCTCAATGTGGAGCAAGGCAATCGATACAAAGAGACCTTCACAGGTATGCTTGCTGCCTCCCCTCTGACATGTTGCAAGGACATGGGAGATACGGCACTGCTCTCATGGTGGGATCAGTTATGGCCCAGTTGAAGGTACTGATGCAGCTGAATTGTCCAACATCTTTTTTCTCTTGCTCATTGGATACATGGAAGCACACAGAGGACCTCTCGCTTTTGTCACCCTTACCCTTCACTGACAGCCTTTGTGACGATCCCAAAGTGTTTCAGCAAAGGAAGGCTTGTAAGGCAGAAGACCATTTATCTGCCCTTGGAAGAGCGTGTTCCCTTGGGCTGAGAGCTGCCTTTCTCCCCGCAGGTTCCGCTCTGGTGGACTGGCTCATCTCCAACAGCTTTGCCGTGTCTCGGTTTGAGGCCGTCACCCTGGCCTCCATGCTGATGGAGGAGAACTTCACCAAGCCCGTGGGGGCACGCAGCACCGGGGCCACGCGCTACAGTGACCTCTCTGAGCAGTTCCTCGATGACTCCACCGCACTGTACATGTTTGTAAGTGATGTGGCTGCCAAGAGGCAGCTCCTCTGCCCTTTGTCACGTGTTTGATTTGGGGCAGGGGTCAAGGGGACGTGCACAACATGCACCCATAGGCAAAATATGCGGGTGTGAAAACAAACAGAAGGAGAAACTTTGGGCTTTCAGACCAAAGTTTTAGTACTGGAACTTTTGCTGGAAACAAACAACTGCAGGGATACAGAGAGATCTACAAATCAACTAATTTGGTATTAAAAGGGGCGTAGAGCAGAATTTGCTTGGGAAATAGTAGCTAAAAGTAGATAAAATGTAGAATCTTGTACTTAAGAGTTTATTTAGATGAAAAACAAAAGTGAAACCATCTATTCTCTACTTGCAGGCTGAGACCGGTAAGAAAATGCTCAGTTCCAAGGAAGAGCTACAATTTAACATCTCCGAATTAAGTGGCACAATTGTGAAGCAAGGATACTTAGTGAAACAGGTAAATACAGTCTTTGAACTATCACTGGGAAGCAAGAAAAAGCACAGCTGGTACAGCTCAGAGGAGAAAGAATGCATTCCACGAGCACAGCAGTGGAGTTGTGTCCCACAGAGTAGATCTTGCCTACCATCATGAAGTGGAGCGTATCTGGCTATAAATATATGAGCTATGGAACTTGCTGCTCTGGCAGGATTAATTGGATATTCCGTACATGCTGAGTATATACTGAAAGGCATAAAGCAACAATCGAGAGTCCCACACCAATTCCACCAGAGCTGTTACAGTCACACCAAGTAGATTCACTGTTCCTCTGGTTTAACCCATCCTGTGGGAATTTTCCAAGCAGCCTGGGGACCATGACTGAATTTCAAAGCTGAGCAATTTGGTTTTTGCATGAAGTGGGCATTAATTTATGAGCAGTCACTCAGACACTCACACAGATGTTCTAGTGGGGGTGAGTGCTATTTTTTTTCCAGGCATAATTACCTGTCCGGGGTAATTGCTTATGGGATCCCACACTTAGCTGTGAGCAAGATGAGGACCAGTCCCTCTAGTTTGCAGCTGAACACAACCACCTGCAGAGGGAACCCCACCTACACTGCACAGTCACATCGAAATTGAAGTTAAGAGCAGGAGCTGGTTATGTAATCTCTTGGTCCTTTCACTCTTCTTTCTCGGTTCTCAGCACAAGAAAGGAATAAGAAAATGTTAAAGAGGAATATGAATAAGGAATATGAAGGAGGTTGAGCAGAAAATCCTGGGAGTTATTAAGATGTCAGAAAAGTTTTTTCTCTGTTGACTGCAAAATGTCTGTTTTTCAGCACCTATTAAGGCTGCCCAAACAGCCTGCAGGAAAATGGCCATTGCAGGATGTATGTCCTGGCAGTAACGTTAATTCTTCCATTTTGTAGGGACACAAGAGGAAAAACTGGAAGGTGAGGAAATTTGTTCTGAGAGCTGATCCTGCTTTCTTGCACTACTATGACCCCACCAAGGTAAGTGAGCGGGGAGTTGATACCCTCAGAAATCCTCTGGCAGACCTAAATATTATAATAAAAGTACAACACAATGATGTTGTAAATATTTCTCTCTCCCAGATCTACTTCTGGATTCTTCTGTTGATCTCCTGGGGAATAAGGCTTCACTGGCCTTACCTCTGGAGTTGTCCCTGTATGATTCTCTGTTCCTGTGCACCCTGCCTACCTTTTCCCCATTGAGATTCCTTTTCCCTATATGTAGGGCAGCAACCTTGGGGTTACTCTTTTGCTGTACACAGTCTGTGGCAATGCTCCTGCAGGGATTCTTCCTGGGCTGTAGTCTTTCTGGGCTGGTATTCCATCACTTGAGAGCAACACTGGGATTTCCTCTGTTCTTTTTACATCCTTGAATAGGATTCCCTTGATCTCAAAGTATTTACAGGAATTTCTGCCACTCAGATTTAAATTTGCTCAAGGAATAGGAAAGTTTGTCACTTTATCTTCGTGGATGTAATCACTGAAGAGAGAGTGAGCCAGAAGGGCATGTGGATCCATCAGTCCCAGACACACATGGTACCACAAAGCCCATCAGAATACTAAGATGAACATGTACAGGAATGTTTTATGTGATTTATAAAGAAAACAAATGGAGTAACAGTTTTACATTTTAGGGATCTGGTTCACCTTCCTCCCCCGCCCCGTTCTTTTGATGTGTGTGTGGGGGGGTTATTTTTTGTTTCTTTTGGTTAGTTGCTTTTTTTTTTCCTTGTCATTCATTTGTTTGTTTACATTGCAGCTTGCCCTTGCAATGCTGTACAATCAGATTGCAGTCTGAAGTTCAGGCATAAGATCTTTTCATCTTACAAAGGAAAACAGATTTTTTTCCGTACACGCTCAGTGAAAAGCTGCAATCTAAAAACTTGCAGATATTTTTTGTTTGTTTTAATATGGGTTGTTATTGATAAAACTGCATAAGTTTGAAATGTGATTGTTAACCTGCCTTTTGTGCTTTTAAATTAGTCTCCACCATTCTCAGCTATAGCAGAGAAATGTCTGAGGCTGAAACAAGTAATGCACAGAATTACATGTTCTGATTTTTGTGACTTGAATGTTTTGTATCTGTATGAAAGACTGGTGTTGCATCCCTACTTTCATAAAATAACTGGTGTGCTCTGGGAAATGATTCTAATTATGGTACTTTGCAGCTAAGTCTTTGTGTTGTGTTTGTTGTTTTTGTTTGTGTTTTTGTTTGATTGATTATTATCAGGAAGAGAACAGACCAGTAGGTGGATTTTCTCTTCGTGGCTGTCTTGTCTCAGCACTGGAGGACAATGGAGTCCCAGCAGGTAAAGCGTGAGCGTCTAGACTTTGCTACATATGTGCTTATGTGATAACATTACAGTTGCTGGGAGTGGTTTGTGGTTTGGCTGGCTGTACGAACACAGGCCAGCCTTTCTCCTCCTCTCGCAAGGGAGAGAAACTGTGTCATCAGGAATCCCCACACTGCTTGGCTGGGCAGAGGGGATGTTGTTTGGTTTGGTTTGGTTTTTTAAATTGTTTCTGCATATCTTGAGTGTTCCTTTTTTATGGACTTTTCTCATTCAGGTGATGCTTGAGAGAGACTCAAGGAATGCATTAATATTCCAGAGTTAACAGCTAAAGAGGAAATGCCTTTTTGGATGTTACTGAACTCAAAATCTTGAGGAAACCTCTGATACTGTCCTTTTTTTTTTTTTTTTTTTTTTTTTTTTTTTTTTTAAATGTGTCCTCTCCATTTGGATCTGCTAGAATCCAAATTTAGCAGAGACAGAATGGCTTGAGCTGTCTTGTCTGTAATGAAATGGAGAGATCCGACACCTCAATTCACTAAATTAAAATTCTTCCATATCAGGAATTTTCACCTGCTGCAAAGTTGTTCTCTGTACACCTTTTTTTTTTTTTTTTTTTTTTCCTCTGTAGGTGTGAAAGGCAATGTGCAAGGCAACCTCTTCAAAATAATCACCAAGAAAGACATTCATTATTATATCCAGGCCAGCTCCAAGGCAGAGCGAACACAATGGATTGAGGCAATCAAACCACTGACATGAACAAGATGGACTCCATGCCAAACAATGTCACATCTGTGACCAAGTTCCCTGCTCTGTTTGTCAGGGAGTGATGGTTGTTTTTTTTTTTTCCTTAACCATTATATTTTTGTCATGTGTACTGTCACAGCACCTAGCAATTCCTGTCAGATCAGAATCCCAGGTGGCTAGGATCACACAGATCTGGAAGAACTTATGCTCTAACCAAGAGACAAAGAACAACAAGTGGTTACAAATAAACGACGCTTTACAAGGACTTTACATCTTTCAAGATGGAAGAAAAAGAACCTTTTGTACGAGTATTCAGTCTACATCTGACAGATCCAGACTGTGCTTTATTTTAAAGCAAAAATGTCTTGCTCCTTTCTCCTTTATAAAGGGGTTTATAAGCTTAATTAGTTCAGATGGACTGAATCAAAGTGAATGAACTGAGTCACAGTCATGAAAGACCCTGGTGTCTGAGTCTGCCTTTCTTGATACATCATGATAAAGCCTTGCTCAAGCTTAGCTCTGGTGTCATTAAAAATACATCACACAAAAAAAAGTTCAGTGCATTCGATTCTCTTGTGCTCTTTAGATACCATGTTTCTCAGAGATCAGTAGGAATAAGTGAAAATAATGGTTACATAGACCTTAAACCTATAGTACTATTAGAAAGTGAAAAACTGTCTGTAGTGGCAAAGTAGAACTGAATATATGAGATGATTGAAACATCCAATCAAACTGCTTATATGATTTATATTATTATTTATTATTTATATTATTATATTTATATATCTTATATTATTATAAGATTTCTGATATCTGAGTAGCTGTATCTGACAGATTCCGCAGAGTCACTAAACCACTCTAAAGACAAAATGCTATAGATCATCCCTAAAGTCACAAAGGAATTTGGTAGTCCTCTATCCACAGAACCACCTCTTTCATATTTGTATATTTATTATAACAGCCATATATTTGGGACTCTTTTCTAAATCTACAGCAATGAAATAGCAGCACAGCATATGCATGCATTCAAATATTTACAAAAGCTGGTAAAGAAGTTTGCTAGCAAAGACAGTTTTAATCATATGCAAAAATGGATGACACATTTCAGCTACAGATACAATTACATAGGACTGATCCAGAGAAGACTGAAATCCACAGCTGTTGAAACCTTTCAGTTCCTGAGAACTCTACCTGCAACAGATAGGGATGGTGCTAAGGCATCTACTATTGTGTACTGTGAAACACATATAGCTTTGTGGTGATTGATTGGAGATTCCTGGACAAGAAGTTCCCTTTTGATAATGTGAGCCTTGTTGGGACCCTCCAGACTCTCTTATTCACTTCCAAAGATATTTCCCACTTCTCCTTTCTCAGTCCCATGGCCTGCACACCACTCAATTCTAGTCACAAGACTAACAGTCACCACGAAGGACTGAGCTGCATTAGCTGGCATGCCTGAGGGGGTAGGGAACCATGAGGATTTGAGAGACTGCCTAGCATCAAAAGTCTTCTAATCTGGGAGACCAAAAAAGTATCTAAGTATAGGTCCTCTGATTTAGCTGGACCAGCCATATCTCTGCAATGTTTAAACACGGATTAGAAAAAAAAAAAAGTGTATTTCATCAACAAATGAAAAAAGACAGTTCCCATTCTCCAACATCGATGAGGAGAAAAAGATAAAACATTTCTCAGACAGAAGAAAGTGCATTTGTCTCTGTCTCCTGGTAATACTGTGAACTCCTTTCTAAGCCACTTTGGTAAGCTTGACATCGCCTGTGATCTGCAAAGCTTTCACCAGGTTCAGGGGCTGAATGCGGTGAGTGAAGTCACAGAGCTGCCGTCCATCAAGCAAGACCTTTATTTGCTGATGTTCACATAAGAGCTCCATCTGCAATGGAAAAGGACAGGGGAGGGTGTTAGAGGTCAGCAGCTGAGCTGAATTCACCAGTGTGAACTTAGAAGCCCTGTGTAATAGGGACGGTGAAGCACAAAGTCTACCAGTTGCTCTGAAATGCCTCTAATAAATAATCTACTTTATGCTGAAGTAATACAGAAAAACTCTTTATAAAGAGCTCTCTCGGTAGAACTAGAGAAATAAATGAATCTCCCCTGCAAGGGCTTGAACTGTTTCTCTGTGCCATATGAGAATATACCAGTGTTGTTAACCTGGCAATTTCAATAGTTAGTCATACACACAGCTCTTAGCTCTTCTTCCCTCCACCCTGTTTATAGTACTCCCAAAATTACCTTAAATGTGTCCCCTGCAATAAATGGGAAGTAGGGTATGTTCTTCTCTTCTATCCCCCACTTCCCATCAATTCTTGCATTTCGTGTGATGGACTTCTCGCTAAAGTTAACTGTGAATATCATCCCAACGTCTTTGTTTGCATCCACTGGATCACAGAGCAGAGTCACTGAAAAGCTGGAAAACAATTAAATGGCAATGTAAAAGGGAGTGTGGAGCACAGCAGACATCTAGAAAGACTACAGATAACTGTTTAATTCTTGAAAGACGGGACTGCTAGAGAGACTGCTCACAGGCTTAGAAGCTGCAGAAAAGAAGCTGAGAGTAGGCCATGCTTTCTTTTTCCTCCATTTCTAGAAGGACACTAATAAATTCTGATCTTGTCTTCTGTCTCTTGTGAGTGAAGTAAAACAAGTATTGGCGAGTGACTGAATTCTAACATTTCACCAATAGAAGTGCTGGAATTGATTGCCAAATATGAAAAAGAAGTAATGATAGCATAGTTGCTGTCATCTAGATTAAACAAAGCAATGCACATTCACTTCCTGTGCCAAAACTGCTATTTTTCAAGTGGTTTTGATTCCAGTCACCAGCAGACAGCCTATATACAAGTCCTGAGTTGAACCTGTTCCTAGGAGAAAAATGTCATTTGTTCACCCCCTCTAGTTCATGCTAGATATAGGCAAGGAGTAGAAAATGGTGGTAGAGCAGTCAGAAAGTTCTAACAGTGAATTGTTGCTCCACTTTCCCATCTCAACCTAGGAGAAGGAAAATTGAGATATAAACTGTGAATCTGTATTCCTTCCTTCCTCCCAAATGCACTAAAAAAAATCTTTTGAATTTAATACAGATAAGAGTATATGACATGGATGACTCTCCATCAGCCTCTTTACCTACCTCTTGGGGTTGGAAGGTACCATTCCTATTACAGTGAGTCTCATGGCAGGTCTCAGTCCGCCTTTAATCTCACCAACGTACTGCTCCACCTACAGGGAAGAGTGGAAACGAGCTGCAGTTGGTCACCTCTGATAGTTTTATTGTATTTTTGTATGTAAAAGAGAAACTAGGTGGAACTGCATTTCTCCCATTCACTCTAGTTGCAAACTCCTCTGAAAGACCAGAGCTACATGTACTTGTTCCAAGTAATTCTCTGGCTGCTTCAAGGGTCAGTGGAGAAATTAATAGAGGCAATGGTTGGCAAGGAAAACTAAGAGAGAACTTGCAAAAGTAATGGGGGCATTTGGAGTATTATGCTGTAGAATGTAATCACTTTGTGTACACTGCAGTTGGAGAGAAGCTGCTGTGAAACACTAAGTGTTATTAGCAGTTTGCGTAACACTGATAATTTTCCAAGCCAATGCACAACACACACTCTTACAGATAACAACGCGCTTCATTATTCCAGTTCCAAAGAAAAACTTCATTTTCTTCTAGAAGACTTGCACAATATATGTATGATTTAGTAGTTTGGCTACTAGAACCACTACATTTGCATGGAAACACATGGGCTTCCATTCAAGTGTACACTGCTATGGTATTTTATACATGTTTTCAAATTCACACGATTGGAAAATATGTCCAGTGTTACAATTTTGAATTATTGAATGCTAGCTTACTTAATGGGAACACAAATTCATGATAGAAAGCATTTCACCTATACTGCATTTCCTAATTTCAGTATACTAGCTATATCTTTTGCTAAGATGACCTTAAGCAGTTCTTTTTCCCTTCTTCATATTTACATCCAGCCAACATTTAGCACATCTCAGATGCATTAATAAACCCCTACCTCCTAACAATGCCAATGTTGAAAGAAATTAATGAAAAAAATCCCTTCAAAAGTGACACCAGTGACTGTTAACAGTGTACATTTACGCTTACAGAGCTGGGCAGGTGACTCAGTAGGTGTGTTATGAATCCTCATAACAAAAGCAAAGTATCAGCTACCTGATTTATTTTCAGGTCAGGAGCAGCTCCTCAAGTAAGGAGAGTGGCTGTAAGGAGATACTTAAATTGGAGAAAGCAATTTCAGGGTAGCTAGTAGAGGGTAAATGAACTTCAGCATCACACAGGTCCTGTGTCACATCACAGCTCCTCTCTTGCCTGTGCAAGAAGTTACCCCAAATTGAAAGTACAGGTTGAAAAATAGTTGGCGCACTGCTGCACCACAAGAAGCACAGTCAATAAACGTATATGGGATCAAACTAGAACAGATCAAACCATAACCATAAGGTCTTAACATTTCCAGCTCTTCCAGCATGACCGAAATCAGCTCAGGAGCACAGCTGTCCACATGCGGTCACTCAGCCAAAGCTGAGTTGTCAGTATAGGTGAGAAATACTCAACATACCATACAGCCAGCAGCAGTACAAGTTCCTGCAGCACCTTGCAGCGTGTGCAGGTGTGTGTGCAGGGACATGGCCCCCTTCCCCTATTTTCCATTTGGGAGCCCTGGAGACCCCTTTGCTCACTTACTTTGGGACACCTCTCCTTCTCTGTCATCACTGCTGTGTCGCACACACTGCTCTGCTGCAGGCGTCCCTGGGGAGCTTTTCTCGTGTGATGACACAAACAAACAAAAAGCCCAGAATAAAGGGAGGATGTCAGGAGAGGGGGCGAGTTATCTCTGCTGAGCAGTATCTGGACACCACCCAGCAAGCAGCTGAGTCACAGCCCACACGCCTGGGTGCACCACAGCCAAGGGAGTGAGCAGCAGCACGGAGCACCCTGCCACCCGCCTGGAGGGCCAGGCATATCCTTTGTGTCTGCGTGTACGTATTGTAGAAGTACACATTGGTGTATGTGCGTACTGCAAGACACTGCATTTGTTTATACAAATATACGAGGGCTGCTCTGAAATTAATGCCTCCTGTTTTGTGACGTTGGCCCACAATGTCAGAGGCAGATGTTGGTGGTATGGCAGTAGGGGCTGAAACTTCCCACCAGTATTCTGTTACATTTTATCACCGTGTGACAGATGGCAGCAGAGGGACAATCTGTCAAAATGGCACCTGACATGGAAGAGCATATGAACCAAAGGTGTGGCATTGAATCCATCCCCATGCAGAAAAGATGGCACGCATTGCCATTCATTGGCACTTGCTGAACATTTATGGAGACCAAAGAGTGGATGTGAGCACAGTGAGGTGGTGGGTGGTGCATTTCAGCAGCAGTGACAGCGATGTGTAGACGAACTATGTTCCAGATGGCCATACAGATTTTCACACGTGCAGCACGCTGGCTCTTGTTCATCACTGGTGAAAATGCACAGCGAATGGTGGTGACTGTGTTGAAAAATAGTGTTTTGTAGCTGAGAATTTGCTCGATCAAATGGTGTTATCGTGCTTTATACCCGCTGGAGTTTCCATGGCAATAAATAGGAGACGTTACTTTTGGAGTGACCTACATAGTACACACAAGCATTGTGTCTCCTTGTAAAATACATTTTTTCTTCCACTCCAGCCCTCTTCCAAAGGAGAACACGCGTTCTGTGTCTTTACAGAGGGCAGCAGAGAGCCGTACCCACAGCATGCGCACACTCACACGTGTGTACCTCTCAACGCACGCCTTTCTCGCGCCCTGTAAGGACGTATCGTACATTTACTTCTTTGAGTAAGGACAGAAATGGCATCAAAACGCATAGTTATTTTTACCCGTGTATGTTTACTCATAAATATTCCCTTCCGTGTACACGTAAATACACGCTCAGCCACAGCCGTACCCGTCAGCCCCCTCCGCCATTAGCTGTAACTTTTGCTCAGCCCCGAGGCAGCGCGGTTGGAACACAAGATACTTAAAGGCCCCTTCCAACCGAACAGCTCTAACCCCAAACCTCCCTGCACCCGCGCGCACAGGCGCGGCGCCGCCCACCCGCCGGGAAGCTCGGCAGAACGGCGCTGAGGGGGCGGAGCTTCCCGCGGCAGCCAATCGGAGCGGCTGTCAGAGGAGGGCGCGGGGCGGGCCGGCGGCTGGGGACGGGCGCGGTCACGGGAGAGGGCGGGGCTAGCGCTGCCCGCAGCCCCTAGGCACCGCCCGGCTCCCCAAAGAAAGATGGCGGCTTGTTTACCTTCTGCCCCGGCCCGGCCAATGGGCGCGCGTCTCCCCGTGCCCGCCCGGCGGCGCGGTCAGCTGAGGCGCCTCCCAAGATGGCGGCGCGGTAGCGGCGCTTCGGTAGAGCCGGTGCCGCCGCAGCGCCCGCCGCGTCAGGTAACGCTAACGGGGGGATCGCCCGGCCGGTCCGCGCTGAGGAGGCGGGGGGCGGCGGGAACGCCCCGCGGGGCTCCGTAGCAGTTTAACGCCCCGTCGTGCGCGGCGGGAGGCCCCGAGGGCCGGCATCGCTCCGCGTGTCCCCCGGCCAGGTGCGGGGCCGCGCCGGGAGGATGCATCCCTTCGGCGAGGAAGAAGCGGCCTCTCTGGAGCGGCTCTTCGCGTTCTTCTGCGAGTGCGTGCGGAGCGGGCGCTGGGAGCTGGCGCAGGCCTGCGTGCCGCAGCTGAGCCGGTGGCGGGGCGACGGCCGCGGGAAGGTGGAGGCCATCCTGGAGGCGCTGGCGGCCTGTCCGCACGCGGCCGGGTAAGGAGCGCCGTTCTGCGGCCGGCGGCTGCGGGAGGCGCGCGGGGCGTAGTGCGGGCTTCTGCGCTGAGGCCCGTGGGACGTGTCCGGGCTTCTGGTCCGTAGGAACGGCGCCTTCCTGGCGCTGCGGGGTGTGCTGCTGTCCGCGGGACGGTTAAAGCTTAGCGCCGTTCTGCTCGACGAGTGTGCGGTCGTGCTTCACGTTGAGGTTTGTGCAACGCTAAAGGTTCTGGGAAAGGCTGCTGTGTTGTCTCTTTTCTTTCTGTTTTCTTTTCTTAGTTCTTTTGACGGTGCCGACTTCGAATACTAACTTTGAAATGTCTGTATGAGTACTGGAGCTTGTGAAAAGCAGATGCAAGTTAGCAGATTTTTTGTTTGTTTAGTCAGTACAGTAGGTTAATTTTGCTTTGGACAGAGAGCTGCGCTTGTGCTGCTGTGATGCAAGAGTTTGCTTCATTTTGGGGGATAGAACTAGACGGGACAGGAAATAGCAGCTTGGCGAGCAGTCAGATTTCAGAGAAATCTGCTGAAGCACTGAAAGTGAGTTCTACTGACTGAACCTTAGGCCAGAAATACATTTCATTATTTTGAAGAAGAAAACTATGGCAACGGTATTGCTTTCTCACAGATCCAAAAGCAGTTATTTGCACAGCAGAAATAATTGAGCAAGCATATAAGTAATGTTAATGTTCTGTGTTCTCTGTATTCTTTTCCTGCTAGACTCTTCAAAAATTTAGTCATTATAAGGCATAAAGAAATAAAAAAAAAATAATAATAATAATAAAAAAAAGCTCTAACTAACTGTTTTCCATGATCTAAGAAAAGGGAATGATACTGTATATTCTGATGTACCTGTGTTTATTGCTTTTACAGATGTGGACAGAATTGCAGCCCATGGAGAGCTGCATGGCTTTGGCTTCTTGTGCTGGAAAAATGGCTTGCAAGGAATCAGGTACAGAAGTTAGTTCTAGCTGTCTTCCAAATGTGAAATGTTTTCCTTGTTACTTGTTTGTAACAGTAGGTTTTCTGCTCTTCATGGAATCAAGCTTTCAGGGTAGCTGGTCTATTGATTTTTCTTTTACCAAACTGCTCAAGAAACAACTGTTAATCTTTGAAAGTGACTTTCTCTTCTGCATGCTGGAGATTAAAAAGTAGTGGGTATTTTTGTTGTTTCCTTGGGTAATAGAAATTGTTTTTTTTATCACTGAGTATTCCTGTAACCAGAAAGGCTTGAGTTTATCAAGTTCTGCATTTGTGTAGCACCTTTCTTACCTAAATGAAGAAATAGTTCAGGAATCAGAGAATTCTTTATTAGCTTTTGATGCCATGGGAGTTTAACATGTGCTTCCTGTATCGCTCTTTTCAGAATGACAGATGTGACCTGCTTCATGAGTGAAAGAGAAACTAGTCTTTTTCCTTATTTGTCTTTGTTTTATTTGTATGCTAGGTACTGTGGTCATGTATGTGTGTTTGGTGGTGTGTGGTTTTTATTTTTTTCCATTTTAAATTCACTTGTTCTTGTCACTGCTAAAAGCTTTGAATTTCTTCACTATTTTAATGAAAGATGCCTTAAATTGATGATATTGCACTTCCTGGAGAAGTGACATTTGTCTCCTATTCCAATGGAATCCACTGGTGCAGCAGCACATTCTAGATGTGGAATAGTCTTCAATTGAGAGTTAAGTTTCTTCAGAGAGATATTTGTCTGCATTAAAAAGTTAATGAAATAGCTAAGATTCAGTTATGATAGTACAGATAAATAAAGCTTATGTTGGTTAATATTTTCCCCATTCTTTTATTGTTTCAGAAAACTGTACCTGTTGTTCTTCAGCGAGAAACAGAATTTTTATTGTTCTTGGAAGAATTGCAGAAAGATGTCTCTGAAGAAGTCCTCAAGGTGAGCTGCTTAGCATATCTGGCTTCTTCTTGTTAGTTATGCAGAATGTACAACCTTAACAGTTTTGTATATATTTCCATCTAACCTCCAAGATCATAGTAGATTGCATGCTTGTCTGTATTGTACAGAAATATGAGATTCATCAACTTCATCATTGTATTTCTTTCAAGGGCGTAATAATAGATAGTTATCTTTTGATCCAGCAGAAGAAAATAAAAAATAAAGGCATTGTGGACTTCTCTTCTAGTGTTCTCATTTTGCTAAGAGGTAGAAGAGGGTAGCGCATCTGCCATCCCATAGGAGCTGCTGGTGTGAACTAAGACGTTGGTGTAAACTTACTTACGAGCATATGACCAGTGAGTGTAGTGTAGTTGTGTATTATAGGTTTAGTTATATTTTGTTATGTGTTTAAGCATATCGACTCTTCTAGGGAGACTACTGGATGATGTAGACTCCAATTAGTGAATTAGCTAGTTAATTTCATGTTTCCAAATTGATTTATCTTCTTGCTTTCAAGTTTATCCTATTTGCATTAAAAGAAAAATCATATTATCTATGGTATCCAGAAGGTGTAATACTTTATTCTTTCCCTGTCAGGAACTGTTTGAAGCATATGTGTGCACCCAGAACAGACGTGCTGCAGACATGAAAAGAAGAGATGGCTGTTCTCAGAGATTCAGTTTGGATGTTGTTTCTGCTCTCCGAAAGCTTTTGTTACGAGCTCCGCAGAGGGCACAGGTCCTGCTGGAGTTCTTCCAGGAGGAACAAGACACACACAGCCATTCAATCCAGCAGTACTGCTCTTTGCGAAACATCTTTGTTGAATTTCTTCGTGACTCCTTGAAATCTCTGCAGAGGCTTCAGTGCGGTTCTGAGACTTCAGAGCTAGATCAACGAGAACTAGTAGATATAATTTATTCTGTTCTCAGTATGGTGACTTTTGAGGTGGAACACCAGGCTGATGAACTGCAACACCTATTCAGGGAGCTCTTGGATGTATGCTGGGCTGAAGGAAGCCCACTGAGGGAGGAGAAGCTACTAAGCTGTATGCTGAGGAAGCAGAGCCGTGGCCTGTTAAACCTATATAGCAGTGTTCTCGTAGATAAAACAAGAGAAAAATTTCTGGTATCAAAATCAGTAGGAAAAGGTTTGTTTTCTTCTTTCATTGTTGTGGTTTCTTGTTTAACAATCCTGTTTAGGCATTAAACAGACAAGGAATCAGGCAGTGCTCTTGCTGAGGTGCCTTAACTTACAAGCTGTGAAGTCCTGTAAAAAATGATGCTAAAATGACTTAAAGCAAGGAACTGACGTAGGAAT